ACGGTTTGTCACTTAGTCCTCCCCGCGTATGCCAGTGAGTGAGTTTGCCATCGTGGAGCACTCTTTCTCGCTATATATATTATATATATGGGTGTGCGAGTGTGTACTCTTTCTTTGGGTCTCGTCTCTCCTCTAAAACGTGTAAGCGGATAGGATTTAGACAGAAGTATACGAGCTCGGCGTTATAATGGACCCGTGGAGCGGGTGGGACAAGCGGCGCGCGGGAGATGAGTGAAAAACCAGAGAGCTCCATTAGAGCCCATTAATGGGTTTTGAGTGGTGACTACGACGGCGGCGGACCCGGAGAGTGGTTCTTCTATACCGCGACCCGCCCGACCACGGTTACCGCGGGGTTATATCGATAAGGGACGCGCGCGCGGCATCCACTACTGCCACCGTTGCCACAATATATATAATACATATACAGTATATACACCGTCAACACGAGACGGGAGTGCGCGTGGATGGCTTTAAAGTTGTGCGACGAGTGCACCCTCCCCCTCTCTTTTTCGCCGCCGACCCCGACTGGCAACACCCACGCGTAATGGATGAGAAAACTTATAAAGGAAAGTGCGTATATATGGTATACACCCTAAGTGTGTACATATACCTGGACGACTTCGGATGGAGTAGGTAAGGTAGGCAGTGGGTAGAGTTGTGCAGGTATAGGTCGCGCGACGAGAGAAGTTGCGATTGCAACTTATAGACGGAGGCACGCGCTCGCTTTCGGGATTTTAAAGTTTGATGCCGCGGTCTCCTTTTATACATACATAGGTATCCCTATCACAAGCACTCTAATAACATTTTGGCTCCACAATATCGGTCACCGGTCTAACAACGAGAGGCCTGCTTTTGAAAAAATGTATATCGACCGTTATTATTACCTCTTTCTAAACGGTCTACGCGTAGATTACATAGGAGACTGAAATGGCTATTATACATCCTACATGACTTACAATCTCCTCGTCGCTATCGAATTTCTATTTTCCTTTTCTCAAAACACACATATTAACATTTATGTATAGATACAATTGAGTTTTATTAACCGTTCATTGCAAATACAGTGAAACGAATTTTCTTAATTATATCAATTTATTATACCTAGGTACATAATGTATACACAATATAAACAATCCTATTATTGATGATGCCAATTTTGGTAAATGAGTTATTACGAGGTTATTTGTAAAATAACGTATTTGCTAAATAGGTACCCAGTAAAAATGTTTTAACGCAAATATTTTACTTAAAAAAATATAATTAAAATCGATTCGTAAAAATAATAAAAATTTCTATTTATCGAAGACATAATTTAATAAAACTTTAAATAAACCTACTTAAAAATTTAAAATACTAGTAATTTGTTCATATTATAATAACGTATTTCTACAAATGTCGTTGAAGATTTTATTTATATTCACCCCCATCTGAAAAGATTATTTATAATCCCTATATAACATAAATACGGAGGGTCGACTGGGTCGAGTTAAATCGTCTTATCAAAAAAGTCCAACATCATAAACTGGTATCCATTGAAGTCAATTACGGAATAAATTTCATTTGTTTAACTTTTAAAAGAGTGAGATTTCAGCCACATGGTGCTACAGCGTAGAACAATATATTATATGACATATAGGTACATTAAAATTATATTTATCGAGAAATATTGAAAAAATGCAATATTTAATATTCGTCTAAAAGTAAGTACAGTATTCATCGATCAATGTTCTAATACTGCAGCTGAATTTCATTTTGCCGATGTTGAAAAGTAGGAAATAAAAGTTTGTGTGCCGTTGTTGGGAAATATAAAAAACTTATAGGCACATTAAAATGGTCGGGTGTCATAATTCTCACGATAAACAAAAATTGAATAGAAAAGGATTTTTATCGGGAGGTTTTTTTTCTTATAATATAATATGTAATATAAATATATACATTATAACGGAAGATTATAGCCATCTCTGAGCGGTATTAAACGAAAACAATATCAAAAGCTATTTTACTACAGCCAGATTTTTAGTAGCTCAGAGCTGCAAAACCTAACTAATTACGACAGCACTCAGGCGGCGGCGAGTAGATCCGAATTTACGATCCGGCGTAAATTCCCTGGCTCCTTGTAATTGCGGTTGCTTCAATAACGAGCGGGTAAATGGACGTCGCTTTAATTGGTAGACTTTAGCGTGCTCGTGGTGATATACACGATAGTTGCTGGGTCGGGTTGGACGGCCATCATTGTCAGCACAAGGCGGCGGCAGCATCCGAACCGAATTAACCGAAACTAATACGAATTCTGATTAAAACGGCACAAAGCGGCAATGATATTAAATCGCATACTATTCCAACCATGGCAGGTTACTATATGAAGGTAAAATTTTAATATTATAAAAATGTACAGTTATAGTATAATAAATTAATAATATTGGGTTCGTTACAGGGCTGATATTATATATATATATATATTAACACATTACCTATATTATATTATATATAATATTCAGTGGATTTATATATTTAGAACTTATATGAGTGGCGTGAACAATGAGAGGACTTGGACCTTGATCTATCCCAATAAAAAAATTGGCAAATCCTACTCATTACTCTTATCTTTTTAAAATTAAAATAACGCACACAATAATTTATTGGTCATTTTTAGATGATCAGAGGACAGTGACTGAAAAGGATCTCTCATTATAGTGAGGTGCAGTCTTACAGCCGCCAGCGAGATCAAACTTAATTAACGTCAAAAGTAATCGACTCGCTAAAATATACGGGTTGAGTGGAGGGGGTGGTTGTGCGGGGACGTTTTAATTAATCAAGGAAACTTTTTAGAAATCCCCTGCCTAGGCGACGGCAGCGGAAACGGAACGTTTTGACGGTTTGACGGTGCGTATTCGCGCGGTGCATTGTTCACGCCAACCGGTGTACATATTAAATTAATCCCATTAGGTATTAATTTTCATTATTACACGAGCAAGTGCGTGCGTGCAGCGTCCCTTTGACAGAAACTTCTCCACCCTCACCCACAGAGGACACGTATATATATATATATATTATATACTTGGCATACACACACACACACACACACACACACACACATACACATATTCTATATATATATCATACCGACCGAAGGGCGAACGGCACGACGAGCTAAAGAGGGACGAATACAAAATTGGTTTCTACGTTGCATAATTGCGTAAACCGTATTTTCAGAAAACCTCTACCTCCCCACACATCGCTTCGCACACCCGTTATTTAATAATAATAATATGTGTGGCTGCTCTAATTACATTTGACGACGATAACAACAACATCCGGGAATTCCGTGCGGACGAGGCGGCGTTACACATGTGCGCCACGTCACCACGGCGGTGAAAATCACACACACACACACACACACGGTTATATTGGATTATTCTATTATATACCTACGATAAAACATTGTAATTTAATAATAGTTCGATTTCCGGACGACCGTGGAGGAATTTTTGTACTTTTTTATTATAATTTTAGTGTACTTGGCCTATGCAGTCGCTAATCAGAATACGAACGTATTACATATATTTATAAATACATGATCCAACGTCTATCGATCGTATGCCTTCGTGAAAATTTGTCACGGAATTGTCCACCCTTTCTTTTCACCAGTACACTATGATTTTCAGGAATAAATTATTTGTTTTTTTGAATTATTATACTAATAATAATTTATAATGATAACTTAAAGCATATATAATATATACGTGACGGTTTTAATACCTACCTAAACCCAATTATTTCTTATTCAAGTTATAAGCCCGTAAAATTACAGCAGCTGATACATACATATCATATATAACTATACAATATATACCTATTTATTATCATATACTCTTTTTACGGGTTAATCGAATAATTTAAATATAAAGAACAATTAAAATACAACTTTAATGTAAAAAAAAAAATAATGAATCTGCTCGCTGTGTTAATAACACAAAATAATGATCAATATCGACATAATATATTGCGCCGAATGAAAATAAAATCCAATTAATAAAAGTATCGTAAATAATTTACGCTTTAATTTTTAATTGACCTGGTTTTGTTTGTTTGTTGTAATTTTTCATTTCATTAAGTACGATTACTGAGATAATAAGTTTTCTAATAAATTTCTTAATTACTTCTTTGAGTTGTTTCAAGAACGTTTTATTTTCTCAACTGTATGTCAATTCTTAAGATTTACGCTTGAAGTCATTTCATTATGTTCTTCAAGTTCTTTTATATTCAATAATTATCCTCATATTTAGTTAAAAATAATTAAAATTTAAAAATATAAATATTTGATAATTTCCTACATAATGTACAATAAGTATTATACTATAATTATATGATATGAACTTATCTTGATTGAATAATATCATTTATCAACAGATCGATATCGTTCGATTTTAGAGGTGATAAATGTAAACATATTTAGATTGACTAAATATACAACGTGTCTTTAACAATAATCAATTCACTAATTTTACATTTACAATAAACCTATAATTATAAATGTCTTAAATAAATATGTTTATTGTTTATTCTACGTAAGAGACAAGAGTATACGCATGCATATCGTCCATATGTAAATGTACATAATATGAGCGACTGTTTATCATTTGAATATAATGTACAATTATTGTATCATTACCACATTTTCATGAGTATTTGGATCATAAAATAATTTAATAACTTTAGTTGATTAAAGATTTAAACGATGTAATTGTATCCACTCGATTATAAACGTATATAATCGAAAACATTTATAATACTATGGTAGGTATATAAGTTAACATTAACGTTATTTCGAACGTTTAAAAATATGTTCTTACTATAAATTTAATCATCTATCTCTTATACATTAATCCTATATTATGAGTGATATTTAATATTCGTAAGATTAATATGATTGAAATTATAAATTATAATACTGTATAAGAGTATTATATAATTGCATTATAGTTAAATAATTTACTCACTTGGTCATTTATAACAGCAAAGAATTTCTTTTAAAGTTGTTTTTATACTATGGATATCTGAAAAAAAAATTATATTTAAAAACTGAATCATTGGTCGTATAATTCTAAAGAACAAAAAATACACTTCTAAAAATATAATTTATTAAAATAGGTACTATTATATAAGATATATTATACTATATACGTATTGTAGCCTGTAGGCATATATTAATTCGAAAAATTACAGCAATAATTATTTGTATGCGAATAACCTGCAATTTAACAACTTTCTATGTATATTAAGTTAGTAAAGATTACACACAAGCAATGAATTATAATAAAACAATAGTAATTTATAATTCGGAACAAGGAGTTAATAATTGCATTTATTAATTTTAATATCGTAATTGCAGTAGTTGTCCCGATATCATGTGTTTCAGGCTAACCTAACCTCCACACTTAAGTTATGCATAGCATCAATTTTTCGTTATTTTAAACATTAATTCATCGTATGTGTAATGTGTATATATAAAGTATTTTAAGAAATGCGTTATAAAATACCACAGCAGTAAGTGCACAGTTTGTGACTTATTCTGTAACCAATTTATACTATAACTTATAGTCTATCTCAAACTAACTTACTTTAATCAGGTATAAACTTGCCTGATGATTTACAGGCTATACATGTATAAATCTATCGCAAAACGTCTAATATACTGTCATAAACTTTTTACGGTCGTAAATATTGTTGTAAATGCGAATCAGTATCTTAATTTAGGAAGAAGTACGATTAAGAGGACTACCAGCTTAATACAGCCATTGTCCTAATTTTTTGGAAATATCTTTTAATCATACGTATATTGCAATAATGCAGGGAATAGTAAACTCGGAATAAACTGGTCTATATTTTATAATACATAAAACGACAGAAGCAACTACGGAAAACAAATATTAATCCAAATCCTAGCTATGCCTGCAGCTATAACCAATAGCTCATCATTGTACCTAATTGAAATTAGTATAAAAATACTGTTGCAAAGTTGCAACGTTATCTCTTCACTCCAGAGTGAATGCTGTCAACTTTAACTCTAACATATTATATTTCTAATAGAATCGACTGATGTACAAGAAAAAATACTGAATACGTTATGAAGAGTATCAATATAAAGTGTTTAGTGGAGTAGATAATTTTTCATCGCAGTATTTGTTCAAAATTGTCCCAAAATAATGCAGCTGTGGAACGAAAAAAGTAAAAAAAAAGTTCCTAATCAATAACTTTTATTAATGTTATTACTATTTTCTTCTATTTTTTTTTTTTTATGTAGCCACAAAAATATTATATTATTTGTGTCTAAATGATTGTTAATTACTTGAACAAGTAAGCAACACCCCCCCCCCCCCACCCCGAGTAAAAGAAACTGATATGAACGGGAAATATATACATATATATTATATGCATAATCGAGTGACCTATTGTATACGTAGCTACGTAGTATAAAAAAAAAAAAATTATAATAATAGTCCAGGAGGTTTTTATATATAAAGCAGGTATTATAGCGCTGTTGGTGATTACGTGCGCACGGGGGACGAGAACGTAATCCAGAGGCAGTTAAATGACGTTTACAGTAAGGGACGGATTATTCGAACAGGTTTATTTAATATTGTATTATATTAATTATACAGGATTATTATATAGGATCCAGTGTTAAACTACTTTTTTGAATGTCCAGGTTTTATTTTCTCTCGACATATGTCGCCGCGTCGAGCTTCATTTTTTTGTTATTTACTACGGAAAAGCCTGAGGCATTGAAATAGATCCGTTTTGGTTTATTGGTCCGTATTTTACTGTCGATTTACATAATATACCATTTTAAAACGAGAAGCTTACGCATATGAGGTACATACGGACGTCAAACCGATGGAACGCATACAGAGTGGTAATTATTGTACAAAATTTATATCATACTCCCGCCGAGAGCATATAGTCACTAGATCGGGCGAATGGGTTGTCAGACGAAAAACATAACGAAAATGTTCCAATAAAAATACATTTTATCGTACCTTTTTATTTTATTTTTAATGTGGCTGATTATTGAAAATAATAATTTCGATTACCACTCAAACACAAACATTTCATTAAAATTCTTTTAAATTCAGATTATGCACTACTATTTTATAATATTACACACATATGACATACCATATTAAAATATTTCATACATACAAATATAACCATTCAATTTACAACCATCTCGGATCGAACAATAACCAGAACGCAATCGAATTCAATATATTATATTATATTTATTAAGCATCTAGTGAATATTGGTCGAGTGCTGCAGTTGAGTAGGTATCTTTGAAATATCGCTTGCGTAACGCAGCTATACGAGGATAGCAGTATAAGTGATTTTGCGCGTAATTACGTTATGTTTACATACAATAAATGTTTAAAATTTGGCCAATAGCCGGATTTAAGTTGAGGAAAAAAATTAACTTTGCTGACAGGGCACTTTGTAATGCAATGTATTATAAATAAAATCACAGCACTAGAGTAGTACATATCGACACATCGTTCGTATATACAAATAAATATATATATATTACCATGTTTAAATGTTTTATATTATGAAAGCAATAGCATTAAAATCGTTTTTATAAGTGAGTGCAAATGGTGGTGCACATGTAGATGGGTGGGGTAGAGGACCACCCGAGAGAAATAAAAACGACGATCTCGACGCGGCTCGCCACTTCAATTCGCACAGATGTCATTCCAAACTAATTATACGCACTGCAGGAAATAATATTATGTTCAACCACGCCTTGGCGAATTAGCGCGCGCAAACGACGCAAGTGGTGGTTTAATCATTTCTGTACCACATGTCGTTGCCTGCTCATTACACTAAAATTAACGTCGTGTTTAAATTTATCTCAATAAACAATAGGGAACGCGTAAAGTACCGCAAAACAGTCAAATCGAAATGATCAGATAAAGTGTTTTGCGATCTTAAATCTAACATGCGAGTAGTGTGAATTTTTTATTTGTGATTGCTTGTGATTTGCTATGGCAATTATGTATAGGTGGCATGCAGGGTTTATTTAAACATTATTTTTGCCGCTAGCAAAACGAATATTATCTACAACGATCTCATTGTAACATGTCACTAGGTATTTTATGTATATAAAGTCCGACACTTTTACCAATAATACGATTGGTTTTCTTTAGGTTATATTATTGTTGTATCATGTTCCACTCGTTATAATATCCTCCCTTATTATTATTGTGCGGGAACATTTTGGATCGCATTCCCGACGAATGAATTTCTTTTTTATTATATTATAATGTGATGTAACTATAAGAGGCAATAAAGCGTGACACTCAAACACCAAAATCTCAAGAATACGGTGTTATAATTCTCAATAAAATATTTTTGTTTTCATTTTGTACACTCGGTATTTAAAAAAGCCAGTCCAAGGTTTAATCTTCACGTCTTAGGACAAAACGTTTAAGTAATATATTTTACATATTTTTATGTTTTGTGTATGAAACATAGATAAGACAAATCCATCTGCAGTATTTCCATGATGTGTGTGATGAGGGTGAAAAATAAATACTGCAGAAAAGCGACACGCATAAATTATCCAGATAGACAAGCATCCTCAGAGCAAATATTTGGTACCACGTGTTTGTGACTTGTGTTGAGTGTTAATGGATAGTGATGGACTCTGTAGGTCAGCCATCTATACATATTTTATTATGTACATAATATATAGCTATAAAAGAGTTGACAGGGAGTTCTTTTCTATAAGAAAAAAATAAAAATTACACCGTAGACGGATAAAGAGACCCCGGGTACGAGTAATGGTAAAACCATTAAAGTCACTCTCGTCGCAATGTATAGCATCTATATGTATATAAAACGCATGTGCGCCTTGTATAAATAATATAATATTATATTCTGGAAGAGATCGAAACGATCTCGTTGTTATAATACGTATTATTATAATTTATAATATAAAGTAGGTATATAATATAATAATATTTATAATGGGTAGTAGGGTAGTTCCAATTATGATAATATGAGTACGCGTATTTTAGCCATTATGATAAAAACTAAAAAACAAGTGTCATATTGATATTCTACAAAAGTAATACATTTAAGAAAAATCCGAAATTTTGGCGAAAATAATAATTTTTTGCGACCTAAGCAAGTAAATCATTTATATATATATATATATATATATATATATATAGATTTATAAACATGCTTAAATAATAATAACAACAAAGTATCAAGTATATAAGGTAATTCTTGCGCACACCAAATACATATTGTTACATAAAAGTATACAACAAAAATCTCATGTGATGCCGTTAAGAAGCCACCGTAGCCATATATCATCAGCTCAGCTTTCGAAAAAAATATAAAAAACGAGGAAAAGAACCACAAACGTCGACGTTGGTCGCTCGGGGTTGGTAATGTGGTGGGAGGGTTTCCAGTGATGGTGGGAGGGTGTTGAGCTCGTTAAGGGTACGGTTGCGGTGGCAGTGGCGGTAGTATATAGCGGCGACGAGCAAACGGCGCCTTATGGTCTGACGTGGGGTTGTGCCGCTAATTGGGCTGCGCTAACGAGAATACAAAATGCTCTACTTCTCTCTCCATCTTTTCCTTTCCTTCCCTCACTATACCTCTATCACTCGCATGTGCTTCGGAAAATTCGCTGCAGACAATCTCCGCGAATTTAGTGATATGCTTGCTCTATTTATTCCTCGGGGCACATCTCGTTTGTGATAAATGGAGACTTCGGCGCGAGTACGTTACAAAGACAAAAATATTTATGTTGAGTAAATAAAATTTCTCCCCGCGGAAACCTCTTAAATATTATACATTATTTGATTGCATTTCCATCGGCGAAAATGTTCGTAACCCCGTAACTTTCAGAGAGAAACACACGTGTCCGATGGACTTGTAATTACGAGCGGTATGATTGCGCTGCCGCAGTAAAAACACTGCATCGGACCTTTAAAGGGCCAATTAAAAAAAAAAAAAATTACATAAATCCAAGAGGAAAAAAGTGTA